CCCTGCAACACTGATTCACTGACAGACTGACTGCATTTAATTTTCAACATCAGATCTGATGACCCCTGCAACACTGATTCACTGACAGACTGACTGCATTTAATTTTCAACATCAGATCTGATTACCCCTGTAACACTGATTCACTGACAGACTCTGACTGTATTTAATTTTCAACATCAGATCTGATGACCCCTGCAACAGTGATTCACTGACAGACTCTGACTGTATTTAATTTTCAACATCAGATCTGATGACTCCTGTAACACTGATTCACTGAGAGACTCTGACTGCATTTGATTTTCAACATCATATTTGATTTCACCTGTAACACTGATTCACTGACAGACTCTGACCCCTGTAACACTGATTCACTGACAGACTCTGACCCCTGTAACACTGATTCACTGACAGACTCTGACCCCTGCAACACTGATTCACTGACAGACTCTGACCCCTGTAACACTGATTCACTGACAGACTCTGACCCCTGCAACACTGATTCACTGACAGACTCTGACCCCTGCAACACTGATTCACTGACAGACTCTGACCCCTGCAACACTGATTCACTGACAGACTCTGACTCCTGTAACACTGATTCACTGACAGACTTTGACCCCTGCAACACTGATTCACAGACAGACTCTGACCCCTGCAACACTGATTCACTGACAGACTCTGACCCCTGTAACACTGATTCACTGACAGACTCTGACTGCATTTGATTTTCAACATCATATTTGATTTCACCTGTAACACTGATTCACATACAGACAACTTGTTTTTGTGAAATGCAAACTTTCTGGATGTCCACAGATTGTCAAAGATTAAAATAGTGATCGTAACGATTGTGACAGCATAAAATGGACAGTGACACGATGAAAGCATCAGTTTCACTGAACATTAGGTTCATGTCACTTCACTTCGTTATTGCTACTCTAGGCTACCATTATGTCTAAATGTTTATCTTCTTTGTTATCATCCTGGCTCATAAAAGGTCATCATTGCTTGCTGTCACCATGACAACAGTAGACCTCCAGCCACTGAACCAAGCTATGAACAGATACCAAAGAAATGCAAGGATGCCAACAGTATGATACAT